CTCTGCAGGAGAGAACATCATTTTTAGTAAACACATATCAAAAGGGACAAAAAGTTAAAACTGTAGGAGAGAGGAGGAGATGTGCCTTATCTAGCCTAAAACATCGAATCATTGTATATTAAAATCCATCTTTAATATGAAACTTATTTCTGCATCATGGAAGAAGATGGAAATATAAGTGGTAGAAGTATTCATATTGATTAGACTTTTTTTTAATCCCGAAAGTCTAAGCAACAAATAAAAAGGTATAACTAACAAGCAAATAGAGAGGAAAAGACGAATAAAATAAAATTCTGATTAATCCAAATTAAGACAAGAAAAGAGACAAAAAATAAAAATGTAGGAAACATAGAAAAAATACAATTGTATATCTAAACTTAAAAACATTAGTAATCACATTAGGTATTAATGCATTAAATATTCCAACTAAAAGACAAAAATATTATCAAACTGTATTGAAAAACACTATTTGCTGCTTATAGAATACACACCTTATATATAAAGATACTGAAAGATTTAAAGTAAATAAATGAATGAATAAGATGTGCAAACAGCCAAAAGAAAGCTAACATAGCTGTACACAGCGGTTTCTCTAATAATGTTTTGTTCAACATCATTTCGTTATAACATTGATGAGGAAAAAAAAAATCAATTCCCCTGGAGACCACTGTCTGTATGGTATTGGCACATTCTCCCCATGTCTGTGTGGGTTATCTCCGGGTGCTCCAGTTTGTTCCCACATCCCAAAGATATCCACATGAAGTGAACTGATGCATCTAAATCGTCCCAATCTGAGTGAGTGTGAGTGTGTGTGAGTGCACCTACAGTGGGATGGTGGTGTCCTGTCCAGGCTGAGTTCCACACCTTGGACCCCAAACCACAACCCTGAGCTGAAATAAGTGGGTTAGAAAATGAATGAATGAATATAAATTATTTTCAAATAAAAAATTTGTATCAACTACAATGATCATACAAATACACGACAATAAACAATGTGCTATGAAAGTGCTCAGCAAGCCCATCAGATTTGTGATTGTTTCTGAACTACGTGGTGGTAGGAGGTGATCCTACCAATTTTTGCTTTGCAAACATTTATTCCTTGATTTAACCCACCACGGCAAGCATCCTCACTCACTGATTCACCAATAATTGGGTAAATATTGATCTTACTTGTTTTAGTAATCTTTCTTAAATGTATGTATAGCTCACATTTATGTCAATGTTTAATGTTAGAAATGTTTGGGGGTCTTTATTTAGAAAACTTTGCTGATATTTTTGTGGACAGAAGTATGCTGTAGGAATCCTTACCTATGGTAAAATTGGGTTTGTTATACATAATTTTGCTTAAAGTCACAGTTTCTAAGAAGTTATCAATGATCTTAGATGAAGACTTACTGTACTAATATCAGATAATGTATATAAGAAGCATATCTTCACGTAAAAGGAGAACATCTCATAAAAGTAAAGTGGTCTATCCAGCAAGATGACATAAAAATTCTGAATTTGTATACATCTAACACTATAGCTCCTAAGTGCACCTAATAAATAGCAAAAATTGACAGAAAAATAGAAAACTTCACAAAGTGGGAGGTTTTAACATCTCTCTCCCTCTCTCTCAGTAACTGATAAAGAGACAAAAACTTAGTAGGAATAGAGAAAACCAACCTGACCTAACTGTAATAATATAAAATACTACATGCAAATGCAGAGCACACCTTCTTTTCATATGATCATTTGTATGGTCATTTTAAAAAAAACTCTACCCCCTAAACCCATTAAAATAAAAAAATTAACGAGTTTCAAAGGATTGTACTCTACAAGAATGAGATTTAGCAGAAAATCAATAGCAGAAAGAAAACTAGAAAACTCCCAACTCAAAGAAATTAAGCAACATACTTTAAATAATAACCCATTGGTCAAATAAATCTCAATGAAAATTAGAAAATATTTTAGGCTTAATGATAATGAAAGTACTACTTTTTAAAACTCAGAGAATGTTGCTCCATAATTAGATTGCCTACAATTAAGAAAATGACGGAGAAAATAATAATGCAGATTAAACTTAAAGTGTGTTGTGTTTGTAGCCATTATATTAGATATGTCACATAAAATTGAGGAAATATTCTTCCAGTATTCAAAAATCTTATTCAGTATGGCAAAGAAGTCATTCACATCACTGATGAATGAATGAAGTTCCAATGTATGTCATTGTTGTTTCACTTTCATCTTACTATTTTTAAATGTCAACACACATTCATGTTGAAACTATACTTGTTTATCAATGATGTAAGTGATTTTTTTTTTTGCTGAACTGGATAATAATCAAGCATTTATTTGAAGTATAAGTTTGTCAAAACATAGTTGAGTTTCACATATAGGTTAACTACAGACACAAGAGTTCCACAAAAATCAACAAAAGCATTCCATGAGAATCAACTGACTATATAGAATTAACAATAAAGAGTATTGCATATTTTATTATTTGTAAGTTATGTGCTACTAATAATCTTTTATATTAGTAAAACTTATGACTAATATATGTATATATGTGCAATTTTTAAAAAACTAAATTACTAGCATGCCACTGGATATGGTGTCCTATTTACAAAATAAATTTCATGTAAACCTCTGTGTCTGTCCCAAATCGTAGAGTATCAGAGAAAAAACTTAAAGACCAGTCACTCTCACCTCCTCATTTCACTAATGTGAAAATCAAAATTCTGAGGGTCAGGTGGCTCATCCAAAGTTACATAGTTCTTAGAAAGAACAAACCTATGAAGCAGGAGCACAATATCCCAAAAAAAGCAGACTAAGACCTCACAAAGAGATAATCCAAGTGCTAAGTCATTCCAAACCCAAAGGTAAACTTTCTAACAGTGGGAGAACATGAATTAATCTATAACTTATTAACAAAGAGAAAAGAAGGAAAAATAATCTTTCTAATAAATTTTATAATGTTCTACTCTACATCTAGAATCAATAAATTGCCGTTCTAGTTAATTTTAAGCCACCTTGCATTTATTTCTTCCATCCAAGGTTTAAAAAAGTTTAATTTAAAATCTGTTTAAAAGCAATAAATATCACACAGCTATTACAATCCCATAGAAGAATATTTTAATAATGCAGTTCTCTGAATGCATATCAGAAATGTATAAACTTCCCATCAGAGATAGTGAAAAATTTTGTAAATGTAAAACAACCTTGTTTAACTCCTGAGAACTTACAGAGAATATTGGAACAGTGTTGTATGGGGAAATTAGAAGAAATAATATGGTTTCCAAGACTTGTTTACTAGAGTTTGGTATTTATGATCTATACTACATTATGAAAAGATTATAGGAAGATTAAAAAATGAAAGTTATTCCAGATGGAAAAGCAAAAGAGAATGTATTTAGGTCCAAACTGAGAAAAGGAAAAGATTAAGCTTCCTGCTTATCTTGCCTGCTGGAGACCTCAGCAGAGGCTTTAGGGTGAAAGACAACAAGGTGCAGGCTGGATATTTATTGCAGAGCTGAACAGTCACTGTGTTCTTCAGGACACATGGATTCTCCAGGCTGTTTACCACTACTGCAGGACAGAAGAGGCATCAGATGACTTTCACTCCCACGTTAATCTGGACAGACAGGCAATCGCCGTGATTCATTTCCACATCAATATCTGATTCACATCTGAAGACATCTGTTACTTGCACTTGGTGGAGGTTACAACTACTTCCTACTCTATAAATTAGCTATATGACTAAACATATTATAGTATGGAGCGGGTCTTAACATAGCCACAGTTAATTAGTTTTGTTAAATTGACATTAAAGAGACAGGGCTCATGCCTGTAATTCTAGCACTTTGGGAAGCCAAGGCAGGAGGATTGCTTGAAGCCAGGAGTTTGAGACCAACCTAGGCAACCAAGGGAGACCCCACCCACAAAAAAATAAAATAAAATAAAACTGGGTGTAGTGGCACCTGCCTATAGTCCGAGCTACTTGGGAGGCTGAGATAGAAGAACCACTTGAGCCCAGGAGTTCAAACCTGCAATAAGCTATGATCATGCCACTGCACTCCAACCTGGGCAACAGAGAGAAACCCTGTCTCTAAAATAATAATAATAATAAAAAGTTAAAGAGAGGCTACATTAAATGTTAAAAGCCCAGGGTCATATCTGGACTCTACAACTTATAACCCGAGTGACCTTCGACAAACTTCAGCTTCCTCACCTATAAGAGGGGATGATAAAATCATCCCTCCCTAACAAGAACTGTTGTGAAGATTCAGTCAGTTAATATGAATCATGCACAGAGCCTGACATATGATAAGCCCTCAGCAGATGGTTAGTTATTAGCACCATATTTTATATAGTGTTATTAATAAAGGGAATGACTTAGAAAACAAACTTTTAGTCACTCGGTAGGACTTTAAGTGTTTTATTTAAAATCGCACAATTCTATTTTAAGGGTTGACATTTTTTTATTGGTCAAAAATTAGTAAAGTGAATTTGAAATGATGATCGTCTCCCCTCTCGCACTTTTAATCACATACCATCTCCCTAGAAAATGTATATATTTGAATTATACTAAAAGAGTAAAATGGAATGGGGGAGAGAGAGAGAGAGGAAACAACCTAGCATCTGGGGATGTAAAGATGATGAGATGAAACAGTTCTAAGTAGAGAAATAGAGACATGAGACACAGTAGAGAAGTATGACATGAGCTATTTGCTACATCTAGTATAATACAACCTATCAGTATTATCCTGGGTAGCTCACCACATTTCCAATCACAAAACATCCCTAGGGAGTTTAGTTGGTGTGAGTTCTGTAAGAGCTTTCTTTCCATTTAGTCTCTCTCTCTCCCCCTCTCTGTGTGTGTGTGTGTATATATATATATATATATGCATTATATACATACATATTTACAATAGTGTCTCATTTAAGATAAAGAATTAAAAAGTCAAATAATATGTTGTATAGTAATTTATTACTAAAAATATATTTGTCTTTTTATTTAGGACTGGAGAAGCTTGCACAAAAAGGGAAATCATTGTCCCCTTTAGCTTGCATAACTGGAATATCACTATTTTTGATTATATCCATGTGTCTTCTATTCCTATGGAAAAAATATCAACCCCACAAAGGTAGTTAAAATTAGAAAAATGTTTTAAAGTTTTGTATATGTGTACTAACAAGTATCTTACTGTGGTTTCTTTTTCTCTTGATTACAGTTATAAAACAGAAGCTAGAAGGCAGGTAATACATATGTTTCTATGAAATTAGTTTTTTTCTTTTTCTTGAATGCTTTTTCCTTAATTATTATCCCTGACAGAAATACCTATTTGTCTTCTCAGGCCGGAAACTGAATACAGGAAAGCTCAAACGTTTTCAGGTAACAGCCAGGCTGAAAAGGGCTATTATCAATGTTAATGTTTATTAATGAATGTTATTGATATCCATTATTATATATAATGTGTTAGTAATGTAATAGAATTAATTTAAGCTAATATTAATATAACATTTGCAAGCCCTTAACCTTGGAATAGAGCCTTCACTCTACAAAGTGCTATCCTTTGTACTGGTTTTGGGTGAGTCACACAAGTCTGTGAGATCAACCTGGAAGGCGCTTTTAACTCCATTTTACAGCAAGAGAACTAAGGAGCAGGGAGATTAAGTCACTTGCCCTGAGTCACTGAGTTTTGCTGAATCCACTGATCCTATTATTAATATTTTGAAAATGCCAAAGCGTTCTCTCACTTTAATTCCTAAGGTAGATTTCATGCTGGCAGTTCCCTCCCAAAGAGAAGAGCAAAGAGAGGTTTGACAGGGACGAGTGCTGCTTCCTTGTCCCCACTGTAACCCTCACTGTCATCAATATTGACTGTACTGACTCGTAAGTTAACAATGGAGCTTTTGCTCAGGCCATGGAGTCACAGGGAGTCAGGTTTCAGTTCCATATATGCCACTTTCCCACTAAGTCACCTTGGGAAATTTATTTTTCTTGCCCTTAACTTCCTCATCTATTTGATAGAGATAAAAACTTCCCCCTAGTAATTGCTATGACAATTAAATAAAGTGGTATAGGTGGAGTGCCTAATATGATGTCTGGATGCTTAATAAATGTGGGTCTTCTTCCTCGTATAGAGGAAGCCCTTCCTCACAAATGACAGAATGTCAGAGCTAGGAAGGGCCCAAAGACCATCTGATTCCTCCCAACCACCTCCACCCCCATCATTCTGTAGATGATAGTTAGGAACTATTGATATCGACATTGTATTGTCTTGTCTTATATTGCATTTTGTATGTATGGGAAGCTACAGTTATTTATTTATTCTTTTTAGTTCTGGTTGTGCCTGTTAGATCTAGCAGAGTGTAGTAGATACTGTAGGTGGATCAAGGGCTGCTGTGACCTTCAGGCTGAAGCCTTGGTGTCCATGAGTTTCTGGTAACTGAGTCTCTGGTACAAAGGCCAAGCCTGCCCACATGTGTGTGTTTGAATATATAATATGCTGTTCCCACCTCAGGCTTTAAGAATAATTGTTCCAATTCAGTTTTGATTCTCAGTTTTAGAAAGAATGATTTCCAACACTGCTTTATGGTAATATGACCATAGAGGATTAGGAAATGTTAAATTGATTTTGTACACATACCATGTAAGACAGACAATAAAGATAAGTTTTACAAAGGTTTTTAAAAACAACAATAGCATATCAAGGCATTTTGTTTGTAAATAGCATTTGTTTTATATTTCAGGCCATGAAGATGCTCTGGATGACTTCGGAATATATGAATTTGTTGCTTTTCCAGATGCTTCTGGTGTTCCCAGGGTTGGTTTTCCTAGTGGCTGATTAACCAAGAAGTAGTATTCTGCTTCACCAGAGGTGTAAGCAGCATTCATTTAAACGCTTGGGAAGTGTGGTCAAATGGCTGCACTGCCCATTACTGTCCTAAGCAGTGCTGACTTACTCTATAGGGAATGATGTTGCCAGATCTGGGGAGCTAAAACATCTTTCTCAGCCTTTATGAGTAAAGCTAACACAAATAAGAAGGTCATGCCAGTTCATAAACATTCTCTACCTGGTAATCTCAGTGAAGAGAGAACTAACTAGGTTTAAAGTGAAGATAACTGAATAAATAGAGGATCAGGAACCCCTGGTTTAAATTGTCCTGCATCACTTGGGTGAAAGTGTCCCATCACTTTACTGAATTCTCTCTGTTCCTCAGTTTCCCATTCATGTCCCCTTCATATGTCTTGATGACATTGCAAAGATATTTGATCATACCCTTGAAGGTACCTCATGCTCTGCAGAAGGAAGTTACCATATAGACCCAGAGTAAGCAGGTATACACTTTTATTATTACCCTAAAGGTGCATGAGATGGGGCAGGGGTGAGGGGGAACCTTTTATGCAGTTGAAGGCATTTTTCCATTCTGGGGGGGAAACACTTTTAAAGTAATCAGTTTTTAACAGACATGCAGAACATTTCTTTGGGCTAATCAGCTCATTAACACTTTTATAGATTTGGGGTTTTTTTTACGATAGCCCAAGTTATATTATAAAGTGTTCATTTTCATACCTCCTCCTTGTACTAAATTCAGAACTCCTCGAGGGCAAGGACTATGTCTAATTATTCCTTGTGGTTCCAGTGCTTAGCTCAGCTCATTGTAGGTGCCCAGGGAAAGTGAAATTGAATGAATCAATCATTACACCTCAAGGACCCTCTGTCTTACCAGGTACCATGCTAAGAGATGTAAAGTTAAAAAGATCAGGCCTTTTGCCCCTTGAAGTTCATAAACAAATTGAGGATGTGTTCCTATCTTTCAATTCTACATTATAGAAACCCAACACAAACTAGCTTAAAAGGAAAAAAAGAATGTGGGCAGGGGACGGAATTTATTTGTCCTAAGCAGGTTACTTCTATTAATAGTTTCAGGAATAGCTGAATCTAAGATCCAAGTTTTCAAGTAATGTTATCCTCCAGATTAGTTCCCTTTCTATAACCTGCTCTTAGGTGGCATTATCCTCAGGAATTTTTTTCCATGTGAAAGCCCCTTACAGCTCCATGTTTACATCCAATTGTAGCAAAAATAGACCATTTTTATGCCAATGGTCCTAGCAAAAGTCCTAGCAGTAATTCTCAATGCTTTTAATTGAGTCACCTGCCCTTCACTGAACCAATTATAGTAACTCTGAGTAGGCCTACGTCACATGCCTACCCCTGGATTTGGAAGTGGGGTTGACTCCATCCAAATCATATGGATTAAAAGCGAGGGAAGGTTGTTCACCAGAGGAAAATCAAGTTGCTCTTACTAAAAAGGGGAGAAGATAATAGGCAAGCAAAAGCCAACACATGTCCTCCATAGAAGAGATGTCCTATACATCAGTAATTATATGGTAAGGCTAGGAATGATGCCTGTCTTAACTGCTTACAGCCAAAGATTAGGTAGGAGAATTGGATCACTTCAAGGACAACTATCCGCAAACACCTTCTAGGAAGAAGTCTATGAACTAGCCTTTTGGATAGGTAGTATTGTGTGTGATGAAGATGAGAAGGCCTTTCAGATATGTGAAAAGGCATGAACAAAGGCAGGGAGGTAAGGATCCTTTGGAGGTTTTCCAAGTTTGCTGGGAACTTTTGGGAATTAAGCCTGGAACTTTGGTTGGAGGCTAGATCTATACATAGTCTAATAAGTGTTAATCCTTTATGTGGATTTTTTCCATATATGATCTCAAAAAAGAGTAATTTGGGCAGGCACCCAGAGTAGTATTATTCTTCCCATGTTATCAATAGGGCAAGCAAGGCCTAGTGCAAGAGATGCCTGCTGAAAGTTCACCCTCTTGTGTCCAGAGACAGAACAGCACAAGAAGTCCAATTTCTGCTCTCCATCCCAGGGCTGTGCCCCCCACCCCATCCACAGTAAAAATAAAATCTGGGGTTGGAAATCACCAGGACAGCAGCTGTGGCTCAGCCTCAGGGCCAGCCTGAGGACACCTTTGGAGGAAGCTGTGAGAACAACCATATAGGCAGAAAGACAGTATCTGACTTGCACAATGGCTAAGAGCAGAGACTCTGGAGTCAGGCCTGGTTTTGATTCTCAGTTTCGAGAGTTAAGGTGTTACCTTGGGCAGATTATATAACTTCTCTAAGCCTTAGTTTCCTCATCTGTAAACAAGGTAAAGAACAATACCTATCTTATAGGATGATTCATGAGGTCTGAATGAGGCATTGCATATTAAGAAATTAGCACTCTCTTCCTCCTCTGATCTGGTCTCCTCTTCCTCGTTCCGTCTCGTCTCTTCTTCCAGTCTGGTCTCTTTTTCTGGTCTTGTCTCTCCTTCCTCATCCAGCCTCATCTCCTCTTCCAGTCTCGTCTCCTCTTCTTCATCCAGTCTCGTCTCCTTTTCTGGTCTCAGCTCCTCTTCCTCATCCCATCTCGTCTCCCATTCCTCATCCGGTCTCTTATAGATTTGTATAGGACCAATTTTTCCACTGCTTCCTTATTCCCCTGTGATAGTCTACTTAACAAAAGCACCATAAACAGATTACTTTCTTCCAGGCATTCTCATTTCCATATTGTTAAAGAACTGTTTGCTGTTAGAGAATTGTTACTTACTTCACTTGTTCAGAGCATTCTATCAATGTGTAAGTTTCACCCAGCAAGTTTCCTGTCCACAGACTTTATTTCAGAAATGCTATGTGAGGAATGGAGAAGGATTGATTGGATTTCACCCTCCCTTAGGGTGAGCCGGTAGCAGCAGTGCCCGCATTGTCACAGATGGAGGGGAGAACTGCCCTGCAAAGGTTTTGCGATGCCCTATTCGGTTTCAGAGAGGATTGGCTCACCATGCACTTCCACAACTAAACAGACAGAAAGAAAAAAAAATGGAGGATCAGTTATTTCAAACAACTTCTCATGATGGCAGAAAGCACCCCTCTAAGGTGTGGCTTCAAATGGGAGAGCAGGAAACTGAAGAGCTAAGAAGACTTATAATTGAATTTTTGAAGTAAGGAGTTTCTTTATTTAAAATAACTCACACTTCTTGCTCCTAGGAATTCACTGGAAAGGAGTGAGATTTATGTAAGAAACTTTAAATTTAGCCTGTGATTAATCAATACTCAGTTTTGAGGTTTCGTTGGTAGGACCTCACTTGGCTCAAAATGCTACAATCCTCAAGAACTTGAAGCAGAGAAATGGGTGGTTTAATTACATGCCAGAGACCCTGTTTATTTCTGTTGTCAACAGAATAACTTGATTTGGAGCCACACTTGTCTTCAAAGCTGACAACTCCACCCTTGAGGAATCTGCTGAGGTTCTTAATTGGCCATGCCAGCAGCTTTGGGGAAGAAGTGAGAAATCAAAACCAACAACCTAAGGAGGAAAAGGGGGAGGAGGAGGTGGAAGAGGATGGAGACACGAGGAGGAGTATCTGCATGAGAAGAAGGCAGGATGGCAATTATGTGGGAAGATGAGCAGCCCTGCAGTGGCCTTGAGGAGAAAAAGAAAAGCAACACTAAAACCAAGATCTCAAAATTGGAGTTAAGAAGGGAAATTAAATAAATTACTAATTTTTTGAGTTTTTAAATATCAAAATAATCTTTTGGCTTGTGACATGTGTACAAATGGACGGTTTCTCCTCTCTCTACCCGTTGTACATTTCACTGTCCACTTAGCCAGCCCTTTCAGGAGCTGGACAGAAGACAATTGCATGAAATGAGCAAGCTTATTATTTCACAGCTCTAATATTAGGTTAGGTGAATAAGTTAGCGATCATCTATAGATTGCTTTTCCCATGGGGTGGTGAATCTGTGGCCTCAAGGCCACACATGGCCCTCCAGATTCCCACGCACAGCCCCTCGACAGAATTCAAAATTCACAGAACAAATCCCTTTATATGTTCTGTAAAATTTGGATTCAGTCAAAAGGCCACACTCAAGGATCCAGAAGGCTACATGTGGCCCCGAGGCCTCAGGTTCCCCACCCCTGCTGGGGGACCTCGACACAAAAATGATAGGACAAATCACATACAATCAGACTGCCCACAAGAGCGTTACCAGGTGGAATGGAAATGGGCAATTTCTAGAAAAACATAAAACAGGTGTTCCAGTCAAACCTAGCAGGTCAAATTGGGATAGAGAACTCCTTAGACTTATCCATGGCAAAGAGTCCTCTAGGTGGAGCTGTGTAAATGTGATATGAAGGACTGAAAGTGGGCAGGAGTGTGATGAAAACAGAAAGCGCTGGGGAGGAGGAGGAAAACCAGACTTTGGCTAAGAAATTGGAAGCCAGTGCTTATAGGAAGGAGTTATGAACTATCAGATCAGAGATGGGCATTAATAAAACATAAATGCCAGTTTCAATAAAATACATTTTGGTTTTTACCAGCCATAAATACCCTACTATTCTTTCCACATTCATCCAAGCCTTTAGTTTGTAAAGCCAATACTACATTCAAACCAAAACATCTCCCCTTGTGTGTTTTATATTTCTTGGTACTGTCTTTACTCACTTCAATATGATGAGGGATTTGGGCTATACATGGTTCTTTCCTTTAAGCCACCCATATGCACATAATTAGCAAATAGTCTCAAAAGGGTAATTGAGATATATAAAAGATAATAATATATGCTCTCTGATTCTAAGCTGTCTTGATATCTCCTCTTTTGCTATTTTTTTTCTTTCTATTATATTTCCATTACAGTACTGCCAGCTTTCTTCTTAAATGAAGGAAAAAAACGATAGTTTTGTCAAGCTATTCCTCTTCTGACCTTGTAACTATGCTGCTGCACAAACTATCATAGGGTAAGTGCAGGAAACTGTGGCAATGATGAAATGAATGTTCTAGGGATGATGAACAATTCTAACTCTCTAATCATCACTAGGCAGTTGTTTTCAAATATGCAGCATAAAGGAAATAATATTTACTACTCTTATGCTAATCTTTTTTTAATGTGCCACATTTTCTAGATGCCAAGCAGACCTGTTCCAGCTTCTGATGGTGTATCAGGGCAAGATCTGCACAGTACAATTTATGAAGTCATTCAGCATATTCCCGCCCAACAGCAAGACCATCCAGAGTAAGTAGGAGTCTGCAGTTGACGGTGCTGTAGAAGGCTCAGCATTTAGCCTCTGCTTTTCCCAGTATTCATTGAAAGGCTCAGGAAAAACAATAATAAAACAGGAAATTATAGCTTCTGTACATTTGAACACACTTCCCTACCTGAAAATAATTTTGAGAAATAAAACAGGCAAACACACAAATATATTTTGGGGCCACATATGTGGGCCAGTGGACTAGATGCAGAGCCCTAGAATCAACTTTCTGTTGCACACCTTTCTCCTTCTCACAGTGTTTCCCCCAAGGAATCCACATATGGGTATGAAAGGAATGTTCAACCCAATTCTCAAACCATCTTGGTTATCTTAGTGATTTTCCAGTGGCTATCATAGTTTTAAAGCAGTGATGATGTGTCACTAAAAAAAGGTCAGGAAAAAAACAAAAGCCTACAGAAGGTCCACAGCACAGTCAGTATCAAATGCCCAACCTCTTACACTTCAAAGCAGTTTATTCTCAAGTGAATAGGACCACAATGAGGACTAGCTTCTCACCCAGAGAAGACAAAACCTGTGCTGAGGCCAAAGCTAGGAAACTACTTATCCAGATAAGCTCAAGGCAGCCTCTAAGAAGTCTCCCTTTCTTCCCTGCCATGGAGAAACTAAGCCTACAGTCTTTCAAAACAATGAAATGAACTTTTTTTTTTTGTAGGCTCTAGCTGCCTGCAGGCATAACTGCCACAAATCATCTTCCATCATTTCTTTCTTTGTCATTTATTGACTTTGAGAAGAACATCAATAACCACACAAAGAAACTTCCCCCCTGGGAAAAGAAACAGTTCCAGCAAAGTAGTCATGCACACCTCTGGATAAATACCAAAAATAACAGCTAGGAGTGAACGAATGCATGGGAAATCTACTTATAGGGAGGACATCCAGTCCTGGAAAGACTATGCATCATTTTTGGGCTAAATAAGTGGCAAAACACTTTGGAGAACCCCATTACAGAAAATTTACCTGCAGTCAGGTAACTTAGGAATAGTCCCCAAAGGAGCTAGGAATTTCTGGTTTGAACAGCGACAAAAAATGAAAATTGGTTTAAAGTATTATATTATTAATCTAGTAGAACATAGTATAATTCATGATAGTTTAAAAATAAAAACTCTCTAAAATGGTACCTAACCCTCTTTACTTTCTGTAATAGAAAATTAGGGAAAGTTTTTCTTTATTAAATATAAGGCATAGAAAGAATTTTAAGATCATATATGCTTTCTAAAATTTAATCTAATTAAAAATGTTATCTTATTAAAATTTAAATTTATTTTTCTGTATATCCTTTGTTTTAAATATCTATTTTTCACACTAGAACACAAACAAAGTTTGTCTTAGAAATAACTTTTCAGGGTTGAAAATAAAGTATAAATGCTCTTTTTCTAGACTATAAAGGACTGTTTAAAACTGCCTTTGAGGACAAGCTCCTTTGAAAGGCATTCACCCCAAGACACCAGCTCCTGCTCCCCGCTCAACCAGAGTGACATCCACATCTCCCATTGCCTCTCTTCTCACCTCCTTCTTCCCTATCTTCTGAGTCTTTTGTTTTGTTTTGTTTCTCACTGTGAGTCTTTGTCTTCCAGTGGCTTTTGCTTCCTCTACCTTCATGCTTTGATTTCTTCCTTTTCTGAGTCTGCCTTTCACTTTTCCTGTCTTTTATCTGTAAGACTGTCTCCCTTCTCTCTAATACTCTCTTCAAAATTTTCCTTCTCTGTTTGTCAACATTTTTTAAAGTATTATTTCATGGAATACAGATTTTTTTGTGTTCCTATTCTAAATTTTAAAAATGAATAAGTAGAATGTTTTCTTTTTCTTCACCAAAAACTGTTTTGCAACTTATTTTATGTACAATCAATCCACAAACATTTCCAGGACATTTACCAGGTGCTCAGTGGAGAGATTAAATAAGAGTCAATCTTTTAAGGATTTCAGAGTTTAATGGGTGCCTGTTTGCTTATTTTATTATAACTACAGATTAGTGATTCTTGGTGAAATAAATATTCCTCAATACTGCCTATAGATGCAGAGGTCATTTTTCTTCCCTGATTACCTATGGTTTTGTTCTCTAGGTCCTATTAAATTTGAAGACAATTGCATGAATAATGCAGTATTACAGGTAGTTAGGGAATCTTCCCCATCTTCCATTTTCAATGTGAATATGCCAGTTCTAGGGAAAGAAAGAATCCTAATGGTTCCTTTTACCTTTATTTGACAATTACTTCAAGGTAGGAAAGACAGCCAATTTTATTATTTGGTTTCTAGATTATTCATAGAGTGTTATTTTCTTGACTACTTGTGCTATTACCTAATTGGACTGGTGTTTAACAAATTGGTAAATCAGTCTGTGTTCAGACTGTGCCCATTTATTTATTGAACTTATGGCTGCACGTATTTCCATGCTGTCAACCTCATTACTCTTGGTGAGGTTTGTTTTGAACTCAAAGCTGATCATTAATATCTTGAAAACAGGAAATTCAGGTAAGTATACATTTCATTTCAAAAGGAAAGTATCTAGAAAATTTAATGATTGCTTACTCTTTATATTTATTGTTTGAAAAATGTAATTTTATTGAGCTAGCTCAAAACATTCATATTACTTGCAGCTCTGGAAAGGAATAAAAGAATTTAAAGTAATTTTTACCTGTAGACATGAAAATCTATAGAGCAGTTTACATGTCTTATACATCTCTTCACCAGGTGAGCTTTTATGGGCAAAGCAGTACATTGGAGTGAAATAATGAAGGAACATTTTGAGGAAAAACAGTGGATATGTCTATTCATCTGGAATCAGTGAAGAAATCAAGCTCAATACCTCTTACTCATTAGTCTTTAAATGCAAGATAGAAGCATTTATGAAAGTTTGACTGCAGGCTTTCCAGCATAAACATGGCGTCTTGTGCAACGAGGAAAATGGTATGAAAATATTCCTTGGTGGACAGTCTTTATCATGCTGACTGGGAGAAAGAAAAGGACAGGGCTTTCCAGTCACTCTTTTTATATCAAATTTCTCTAAAGGCCCAATTAGTTCTAATCTATGCTCTTACTTTCATCAACATTGACACTATCCTATCTCACCTACAAATATGGAAACTTTACATCTGTAAATTTTTCAGCAGGCTTTGTTTTACTAAATTCTCATGACTGTTAAGATTGCTAAACTTATTTTTATTTTATTCCCAAATTTCTATCTTGTTATTTGTACCACAGAATATTAATAATAAGGATCGTTGTCCCAAAGCAAGAACTGTGTCTTCCCTCCTTGTTTGTCAATTACCAATGGTGTTTGTGAGAAGACTTGTAAAAAACACTTGAGGAAATGACTTATTAAAGTCTTATCCTTATTTTTGTTCAAGGAAAGAAGGATTCAAATAAATTATTCTGTCTTTGCTTTTATGTGGCCTTGATTCTTTGTCTTGTAGAGTAAAAATATTACACAAAAGTCAGATTATAGAATTGGATTTTTTATCCTTATTTCCCAATGTGCAATAAAGTCTAGATTATACAGCACTTTTAAAATAAGAATCTTTCTCTCTCATAGCCTATTATTTTACACAGAAGAAAAGAAATCTTAAAAATAGGATTTTTAAAAAATGTTTCCAGCAAACCACTTGTATTTACCACCATCCCGCCCATATTGTCATAAAAGCAAATGGTGAAAAGAAAATTAAGTCCCACAGCTCCTGTCTGGTCTTCTCTCTCTACTACCCTTATATGTTTTTCTGTTGGAAAAGTCAATCAGTGCTAACACAAATATTTTCTTTTGCATTTAGTTAAAAAAAAAAAAAGCCCTACTTTATCTATTAGAAAAGGAATTCATGCCCATTGTAAAAATATGCGAGTATTTGGAAATGTAGAAGACTCTCCATAAGACAATTAAAACCATTTGTAATCTTACTTCTCAGAAATAGCCTGTTAGCATTTCCCTAGAGTAGTATGTATATATTTATTCATACTCCTTCCAATTCCAAAAAGGATTTATGGTAGCATATAAATGCTTAATATAACAAGATAACATAGAGTTGATAAGGAAAACAGGATGAAGGAACAATGAGAAGTGAAGTGAAAGCAGAAATAAGATCAATAACCAGTGGGATAAATTCTCTTTTATCTGTGAGTTTTATAGTACTGAGATCGGGCAGCACACAAGGGTGTATATCTAAGGAGGGGCTTCTAAGATGAATGCAGTATGTAAGCAATAGAGCCAAAGAAAGGTTGCAATCCCACTGCCAGGCCGGGGGAGAGCAGGTCAGTTTTTGCAGTCTCTCATCCACCCTTCTCCCCTCCTTTCCCAGCCTGGTGTCCCCTCCTTCCCAGGGCTGTACTCCTTGGTGACGCATCTCTGACGTAGAAGGCAGACTCTAATTACATGAACTATAGCTGCATCTGTGTTCCCCTTCCTAAACCCAAACCCTGAAACACTTTAACCCACAATCTTCAACAGCCCTTTCCTGAAAAGATTTTTCTATATTCACATGATTCACAAATCAAACCCCTATGAGAAGTATGCATGAAGATAACTGTGTTTATTACTTTGGGGTTTTGGTTTGGCTGTTTTGTGTATACCTCCAGAGTGTCTCACCACAAACCAAAGGAAATACAAATACATATTCTTATTTTTTCAAACCAACTTTTCAATTACCTTGTAATTCCTCTCACTTCTGTATCTATCTTGCACACACAAAAATACACGGACTCCCTTAGTGCCTGGTTCCACTCAAAGCAGCAAGGAATTGCTGAAGGGAGAAATGTGAAAGGATCTAGAATCCAATTAACTTTCGCTGTCATTGGTGTGTAACACCGATGACTCACTGCTTTTTTAGTAAATGAGGATGAAAGTCTCATAAATTAATCAAGGTTTCCAAGGGAAGTGATGAACCAAAACCCAGATGTTCACCTAATTAACAAATTAATCTTTAAAAAACAGCCCAAAGTTCTTTCCTCATTACTAAACATAATCTTAGCTAGTGTTAGTTTTTGACTTTATATTACCACTTCTAACTTCAAATGGAATCACATTCCTGGTGCTCATTATTTTTAAAGGGTATATTCTACTGAAAGACTTTTAAGCAAAAAATGAAAATACTTATGAATAAAACACAGTTTTTCTTAGTTTTCTGACATTTGTACTTCCATGTTAATAAGGCAGTTTCAATTAAACTGCACACGTACACTCTGAGAGCCAGGTCCACGTGATCCTTCAGTTCCACTAGATCCTTATAAAGTTTTGTCTAGGTAATAAAAATGAAGTGATAACAGAACACTTGGTATATAGTAGATATTTTACTATATTTTATTAAAAATTTAATTTATTTTTAAAAAGTTCTTTTTTTCTGCCTCTACGTTGCTATATATAACCATGTATATTCCTATGATATTCTTATATATTTCTCTAAAGTTCATGTTCAAGTATGCATTTATATATATGCACACATTTTAATTTCATGAGGCAATAAGAAAGCAAAGGTTTCTTTCTCATAGATATGAAAATCAGACACAACACTTGGGCTTCACAATGTTATTCTCTGTTCTTCTCTTCTCCTAGACACGCCGTTTATTGTGATTACCATGTTAAGCTTAGTTTATATTAAACTTTCACACACATGACTTCCTTTGATCTTTACAAGAGAACCCTGTGAGTTAGTACCAGTATTTCCACCTTACAGACCAAGTTAAATGACTTTCCTAAAGTCACCAAACCAACAAGTGGCAGGGCTGATCCTTGAGCTACACCGCTGGCTCCAAATCCAAGGTCTATTCCAATGCGCCACATGATGTCTCTGGGCATGGCCTCCTGGAGTGGAGTGTGCAGTAGTGTTTCTCCTGTGAGCCTTGCCTTGGGAACCTTCTTATTTTCAAATGCTACTGGGCCCCCAGAAAACAGTTTATTTATTTGTTTGTTTGTATCTGAGAACTTCCTCATCTGAATATGCTCCCAGCTCAATTGCTTGCCATCAATAGAGCATAAACTGAGAGATTGTGTTTTGTTTTCAAAATGTGAAAGCCCCTACAGAATCCCATGTGAGGCTTTCTGAAGCTCTGGGGCAGTCAGTGTCCCTCATCCATCCACCCCAGCACGTACATGTTAGAACACAGATAATACATGTTTCTTGAATTGTACAGAGTTGGATTGTCTGCCCTTTGTGTATGTAATAAAGACACCATAAATAGGAGGCATATAAATTACCACGTTTTCAATAACTAAGTTTCTTTGAGTTTATCTGTCAGGGGTGCTTAGTAACTTTTGGAACTATTTTTTCTTGCAGTTCACCAAGACTCTCTCAAAATGTTTTGTCCTTGAGAAAGTAGAGAGTCATGAGAGTGTGATTGCATCTATAAATTTTTATCCTTATTACTTATAAAATAAATGATAGTTTATGACTCACAGATCACAGGCCACCAGACATTTTACAGATGGGGAAACTGAGACTCAGACTTTCAGGTCCTCGGTTTCCCTGTCAGAACATGAAAAGGCTGGACTATGTAATCTCTGCCCTGCTTTGATTTGCCCAACAGTGACACCTTCCAAGCAGGTCAGCTGCTCACCTATGTTCTCATTAGACATCTACCAAAGCCTTTACCATACTACTGTAATTATATTGCAGGCCAGGCATATAAAGAAATAATTATAATACTGTGTTTTAAATGCAACAGTAGAAGTGTGTAAAAATTCAGAGGTACCACAGAGGAAGGAGTGACTAATTTGGTTTGGCGGCGTCCAAAAAGTTTTCTTACATCATGTAGGGTTCTGGTTGTCAAGAGGAATTCATCAGCTTTAGAGAAAAGTGCATTCCAGCAGGTAACATTAAGTAAGATCTGTAATATACAAGGGGCACTACAACAGGTAGATATGTAAAACAAGGAACATGTGGATTATCCAGGAGGGACTATTTAGTAAAATGATAAAACGTGTCCAGTGCTTGGGAAATACTTCTGGTTAGAAATTTCAGTTCCGTTATGTTTAATAAACTTTTATTAACTATATTTCATGTGACAGAAGATAGATAGGAACCAAACATGGCCCAGTCTTTATCTTCTAAGAACTTACAGTCTACTCAAAGAAAGAGACACAAGAGTTTTAATAATATAACTAGCACATATTAAATACAACATGGTATACTTACTATGAAGAAAACCCCACAGAGAATATTATGGAAGCTTAGATGAGGGCATCAGATTGAGTCTAGGGGATTCAAAGAAGGCTTCTTAGAAGAAGTTGAGCTGAACTTACCCAAAGTGCAAGGAGTCAGTCAGCCAAGTGAAGAAATGTGAGGAAAGCATTTCAGGCAGAGAGAACTGCTTGGGCAAAGACATAGAGGCAGAAAACAGGCTGGTCTATTTGAAGAACTGCAAGCAGTTCATTAATGATCGAGAATAAGGTAAGGAATGGCCAACACAAGTACTGGTGAGAGAAACAGCTAGCACATACTATACCCCCTGCCCATATACTCATCACATGGGTAATTACTTGCTCAGTGTCTATCTTCCCTGCTAGACTAAAAGTTCCCAGAGTCAGGGAAGGCAGGGAACTGTGTCTGCCTATACTCTCAGTGCCTATCGAATCTCAGCAATCAATAAGTGTTTGATGATAAAATGAATGAATGAGAGTACATAAATAAGGGTCAGATCATTCGTGAACCTGAGCATCCAGTCAAAGAGCTGGATTTATTCTCCAAATGATGAGACATCCAAGCAGGTAAATATTCACATCAGATTTCTGTTTTGGATAGATCACCCTACAGCAATGTAGAAATGGATTTTAGGGGATAAGGCTGAGACTAGATAAATAATTGAGGGGGATATTACTATTATCATGGTGAGGATGAAACTCTGGATGGGCTTTAGGGTGGCAGTCAAAATATATGTTTTAAAGGCAAAACTCGTAAGGACTCAGTAATTGGATATGCAAGGCAAAACACAGGGGAGGGCCACGAGTGGTGCCTATGCTTCTGTCTTTACTGCTTGGTGATGCCATCGCATAAGATGGGAAATGCATGTAGAATAGCAGGTTTAGAGAGGGGGAAATGATGAGTTCAGGACTAGATAGGGTCAGGATTAGTTTAGGATTCCAAATAGAAATGCCTGATAGGTAGTGGTATATTTAAGATGAGAACTTCAAGGAGAGATCTAGGTTTAAGAAATAAATTTGAATCATGTATCACTTACAATGCTTAGACAGGGAATAACAACAACAAAAATGTCTGATTAAAGTAGACTTAAAGATTTATTTATTATCTCAAATGGCAGGAAATTCAAAGGCCAGGTGGACTCCAGAATTTGTTAATGTAATGACTCAACAACATAATCAAGAACCCAAGTTTTTCCCATCTCTTTACTCTCTGCTTCGTGGTTATAGGATGGCTGCAGCAATACCAAACATTACATAGAGATGCCAC